GGAGAGAGAGGGAGAGAGAGAGAGAGAGAGGGAGAGAGAGAGAGAGGGAGAGAGAGAGAGAGTTTCCCTGCACAGCCACCTCCCTCCTTGAATGTCATAGCCCTCTCCTCTCCTGGGAGTGTTTAATGATTGTCTGTGCTGGCCCAGCTTTTCTGCTCTTCCTAGGGTGTTATTCACTAAAGAGCCGAAGGATCTAGCCCTAGCTTTGGCTGATCCTTCGGCTGCCAGAGCCCTTCAGTTCAGTCAAACAGAAGGCCATAGCCCTTACAGCAGCCGAAGGCGGCCTAGCGGGTCAGCCGAGCCAAAGGCCTATGCTTCGGCTCAAATGAGCCGTAGCTGGGAAAACGGCCTGCGGAAGGGCCGGCTGGACCTGCTAGTAGACTCTGGCAGGTGCCGGCCAATAGGAAACAGTTGGGTGGAGCTAGCGGTTCCTCATACAAGATGTCAGTGAATGAACTTCCATAACCTTCCTGAGTATGCCCAGCTACGTGAAGGGCATCTCCATCCATTGCCGTAACCTGACGACAAACACAAGACACAGAAATCTGGCACTTACCTGAGGATGAGTATGTTGTCGTAATGGTGCTGAGATCGCTCTCTGCGATGGAGCTACAGTTACATTCGGACAATGACCCGACGACTGTCACCGGGGCTGTGCCGGGGTGTCGGAGAGCTGCTTTGAGGGGAGCCACTTGGTTGTACTGGACAGAGGAGAGGCAACCGACAAAACCCAATGAATTTGCTCGGGAGACTTCTGGGTGGAGTCCCGGGTTATCTGCAAGTCAGGAAACACCAAAGAGGATGACACATGACCATCATTGGAGAGCACATTCACCACAATGAATGGGTGAATGCCAAACAGCTGCCCTTCCGATCATTCTTTTTACTTTGTATTACAAAATCTTTATTGTAAATTGAACACATTCATAAAGTACGGTTACAGCTCAATGCTCTGCGCCAGACCCTGCTCCTACTCCCTCAATGCATTTCACTTTAATGGGGGCTTAATCATGATGGTTCATGTGGGAGTGAAACACATTGAGGAGGAGTGGCAGAGAGATGAGTTCATCACTGTGCTGCTTTTCCTTTCACTGTCCACTCCCATGCTGAGGGCGGGTCCAGGATGACCTGAGCTCAAAGGAAGTGGATTGAACGGTGCCAACCATTAGGCCTCATTCACATGACAAAAAGCCGACACGTACAGCCCCGCGCTGCATTCCGCGGCCGTATCGGGCAGCTCCCAGGAAGGACAGGTGCTGCGTGTGATTAGTACGCAGCCCCCGTCCTTCTCTATGGGAGTACGTGGCAATACACCGCCTTACGCTCACCCCAAGTCTAGTTCCATACGTGTGCGAGTGTCCCAGCTTGGACGCAGACAGGATCCATCCTGTCAGCGTACGAGTACGGACACCCGCACCCGTGTGCAGTGTGTGTGAGCATAGGGCGACGTACGGCCGCGTAGTCCCATAGAGAAGGACAGGGGCTTTGTACTAATCACACGCATAACCTGTGCTTCCCGGGAGCTGCCTGATACGGCCATGCACGCAGCACGGAGCTGTACCAGCCGGTCTTTTGTCGTGTTAATGAGGCCATGGACTGAGGACATCACACTTCACAAAATAAATGATGGGGAAATCTCTGGATCAAAATGTGACATTTGCCTCAAAAGTTGATTTAGTTATTTTACCTTTCAATGGGCTTTTCATGTTTATGTTGTTATTTTGGGCTAAAGTTCTATTTTATTTTATGTTACATCCGATATGTTATGTCTTATGTTCAGTTCTGTTTTATGTTATATGATATAACGTGGTATATTGTGGTTTAGGTTTACTTATGTTATTTTGTGCTATTTCTTATGTCGAGATCCACCCAGCTGCGTGAATGACAGCTGGCTCCGCCTATCTAGAAGCAGAGCCAGCTGTGCCCGCCCCCTCCCCCATCCGTTCTGTCAGTCAGCGCTGGAGGATCTGCGCTGATGAAAAAGATAAATGAAAAAGTTAAAAAAAATAATATAAAAAAACTGATAAAAAAGTAAAAAATTATAAAAAAATAAAAAAGCAAAAGATAATAAAATAAATAAAAATGTAAAAAAGTAATAAAAAGAAAAAAGTTAAAAAAAAGTAAAAAAAAAAAATAAAGAAAAAAAAAATTAAAACCAATCCTGCCACCCCTGCCATCTAGTTGCCATTCTCCATTGGGGAGGTGGGGAGAGGGGCATTGAGGAACCTGGCTTTGGGGCAGCAGAGAGAGTAAATGTGGCCCTATCTGTCATGTCGCTTTTGAGCGGAAAGGTAATTCTGTGCAGTTGACTCCGACCCGATTTTAGTGGTCACCATAGATGACCTGAACACATACAGCACATTTCTCCTATGTGTACACAACAATATGTCCATTGGAGTCACCCTAAGTTGAGTGTTCTGCACAGTGCAGAATACAGCAGCCTCATGGAAAAAGCCATGGAGTCTGCAGGACATGACGACAGCCACCAGCAAATAAAAATGCCAACACCTGAGATATAAAACACAGCAAAATGAAATGTGTGAAGCATATACCGGCACATACGGAATACGTTTCAATAAATTCCAAGCCAGCAAATAACACATTTCAGCACTTTCCTCCTCTTATTATCACGCGCGGTATTAATATTCCTTATTGAAATTCTAATTTAATCAATGAAAGATTAAATATTTATGTCAGAACGAGAAGACAACACTGAAGAGAGGCTGAGTACAAAAATCATCTGCAATTTACTGTATTGTTAGATCCGAGCACCTTTCATTTCATTCCTTTGTAAGTGGCATGGCAAGGTGGCTTTGGGGTGCTGGGGTCTCGATGTTATCATAGGATAAGATTTCATATGCAGAGTTTTAGCCTCCAGGGGGTAGCACTGTGTCTTGTGGCACTGACAATTTGAGTCTAGCTTAGTAAAACTGATCTTTAATCTGCTCTTTTTGGAACCCCACTATCACTACTGACCACTATCACTACTGACCACTATCACTACTGACCACTATCACTACTGACCACTATCCCTACTGACCACTATCACTACTGGCCACTATCACTACTGACCACTATCCCTACTGACCACTATCACTACTGACCACTATCACTACTGACCACTATTACTACTGACCATTATCACTACTGACCCCTATTACTACTGACCATTATCACTACTGACCACTATCACTACTGACCACTATCACTACTGACCACTATCCCTACTGACCACTATCACTACTGACCACTATAACTACTGACCACTATAACTACTGACCACTATCACTACTGACCACTATCACTACTGACCACTATCCCTACTGACCACTATCACTACTGACCACTATCACTACTGACCACTATCACTACTGACCACTATCACTACTGACATTTTTTGTACAATAAATAACTTATTTTAGGCCCAGTGATGTCATCACTGGGTCTTTGGGCTTCTCTTTGCCATGCAGGCAGGTTGCGGTTGGTGGGAGGGGCCAGCAGGGTGCTGTACATAGCTTCCTGAAAACATCACAGCACCCGGCCTCAGCTCATGGTTTACATTCAATTGTTTCACAATAAGGGGAGATAGCGCGGTGTATCGGTTTATCACAGCACCCTGCCTCAGCTCCTCTCAAGAGCCCCCAGCTCTGATGCAAGCAGTGGGCTGGCTCTTGGGAGGAGTTATGCAAATATTAAAATGCCTTCATAGGTGGATGTCATTCTGGACTCTGGGCAGGTTACATTTGCATGCAGACCATCCTAGGTAACGCCCACATGTGATGCTGAGCCTCCAAGATTGAAAGAACTTAAATCCAATGAGTAAAAGGGGGGCAGTCAGACTGAGTAAAAAGCGCTAGATGATGCTGGATGTCCTCCAGCCAGGAAACGTGGCAGGCTCTATTGCTTCTAATGCAAGATGTGAGAAATCTGAGTAAGCAATTTCAGTCCATGAGGGCAGTGAGGAAGCTAGACATTCTTTCCCCTTT